GTCCTTCTCAGTGTGTCATGCAAGGAAGTGCAACATATTAATCTCTATCAAAGAAATATGGAAAAATTTACGACAGATGATATAGCTGTTAGACATATGTCTCTGCATCTCGTAAAATAATACAGGCACTACCCTAAATAGATTCCTAGTTTTCCATAATATTTGGCTGCTACTTGTCCTCTGTCTTTGCCTTCTGCTAGCACTTGCTGGCAGATAAGCAGCCACAGGTACTAATATTCATGGGAGAAAATGGAAAATGGAGAAAATTCTCTCCATTATCTTGACTTCTTTTTTTCCCCTCTGAAAATTGGAAAAAGAGAGCTATGATTTGATGTTTGTGAGAAAGACAGGGTATTGTTCTGTTGGAGTGGACGAGTCCACAGGGCTCTTTCATCTCCGATGTCTGGGGCCAACCCTTTAGCTTCTTCCTTAGGCCATCGCTGGCTTTGGTTTCCAAGGTTATAAATAAGGAAGGGAAGTCCACAAGGGCTCACAGTAGTATAAACACTCAGGAGTAACCAGCCTGACACCTAGCCTGCTACCAAGACTCTGAGAGGTACTACAGGTTTCCTTTTGTTCTTTTTAAAGGCTGCTTGAAGTTTATGATATTCTACTTGATACAAGGCAAACAGAGCTATTAGGGGAGTTAAGAAGGCATGCAAGTGACTTGATAGCAGAGGGTGTAGTTCTTGTCTTCATTTTTGGAGTTCTGGGGTTTTTCCTTATTTTTAGAAAAAGAATGTGACTACTTTACTTATTGTGGACTGTCTAGGCCACGGAGAAAGAAGGGGAGAAGGAGGAGGAGATGGGCTCTGCCTCCTAGTGTATGTAGAAGTGGGGGGAGGGGGCAGAAAGGGCCTTTGCCACTCAGGAGGAGTTTTTGCCAGGCTTCATGCCTGGTCACTTTCTCATGGTTTCTGAGCCAGGTTACAACAGATGGTGCTGCAGGTGGTCTGGGGTGATTCTGAGTGCCCTGGGGACTCCAATACAGTGGTCCTAGATGGGAAAATGAAGTTCTTAAAGAAGATGCCCCCCAGAGGCCTGGATCGTCCCAGGGAAGACTTGGATGGGCATCCACGTGAGCTGTAGTGGAAGTGAAAAAATATAGATGCTGTAGCTAGTAATTATGCATGGCCCTGAGCGAGATGCTGGAGTGGATGGCTGCCATTTTTTCTGACCTGGCTTGAGGGAGGGGTGCCAGACCACAGGATCCACCGCAGAGGAGAAGACAGTTGGATACCCCCACACACCAAGAATGCTTGAGGACTTAAAGTCGTGCTGCATCTTGACAGACTAGAGTCCAGGAGACAGGGAGGAGGGCCATCACGTCTCTACCCTGTAGGGTCTGCTCTCTTATTTGCCATTTAATAAACAGTCAATAAGTGCCCACTCTGCCAAATGCAGCTGGGCATGAGAATCCAGAAGTGAATAAGGTACTTTCTACCCTCAGAGCCTGAAGTTTAGAGGACAAGACATAATTAGATACACAATTACAGCACAGGTAAGAGGTGTGACAGTCAAAGAATGTACAAGGTGCCAGAAGCCCTGAGGCACAGCCACCAAGGAAGCCTGGGTGAGACACAGGGACTGGAGGTCTGAGCTTCTGGGCTCTGTCTGACTCAAAAGCCACCCCAACTGATGCCCTGAGTGGGAAAAGGACCAGCAAGGAAAGAGGTGGCTGCTGTGGGCAGCACTGATAATGTTCTTACCAACGTATGCCCAGGGCTGACAAAGCATGTACTACCCTACTATCTTCCCTCTTCACAGAGCTGTCCAATACAGGGAGGTGAGGAAAGTCAGCTATTTCTTTCTTTCTTTTTTTTTTTTTGAGGAAGATTAGCCCTGAGCTAACATCTGCTGCCAATCCTCCTCTTTTTGATGAGGAAAAAGACTGGCCTTGAGCTAACACCCACACCCATCTTCCTCTACTTTATATGTGGGATGCTTGCCACAGCATGGCTTGCCAAGCAGTGCCATGTCCGCACCCGGGATCCAAACTGGCAAACCCCGGGCCACCGAAGCGGAACGTGTGAACTTAACCGCTGCACCACCAGGCCGGCCCCTTAGCTATTTCTTAACTGAAAGAATGAAATACAACTTTTGGGATCTTGGGGCAACTAGTCCAGGCCATGTGATCCCAATGATCAGTAAGCCAGCAATATGGTTCTGGGGATAAAATCAGAACTACCAGACAAAGGGGAAATGAGATTTGAAACATGAACAGGAGGAAGTGGTCCTGGTTCCAAAGGAGCCAGCAACTTTCTGAGTCAGACTCTAAATGCCCCAAGGGTCAAGGCTCCTAGAGCAGCAGCAGAGGTAGCCACTGCCATCACTGAGCATGAGCGCAGACAGTGCTGGCTACTTTCGCAGTGTGTTCCAGGCACAGACACAAGCACAGCCCATACACAGCTCCCCAGTAGCTGGCCAGAACATGCACTCTGCCTGGAAAAGGAGTGGACTGACAGTCCCAACCATGGGTGCCTCCAGGGCAGAAGAGGACAATTTGATTAAGAAGCCTGCAAAAAAGAAACCACAGTAACCAGTCCCTGAAGGCAGGATGGAAAGAAAGATGACCTCTGATCTGGGGAAGCAGCCCTTCATCTCCAGCTGCATTTGTGTGAAATGTAACTCTGCGGCTCTGGGCCTGGGGAAGAAGTGACACTAAGTAACACCCACAAAGTACTGTCCCCTGGGAAGGTCAATGTCCCAGGGATACCAGGACACAGAAAGATGCATCCTTAGATCCAGCCCCAGGTCTTGAAGAAAGAAAACAGTCCCCAAAGTGATGCATTCATTTTTAAATAGTTCACAGAGGCAGAAAATTTTCTCCTTTATAGGAGAAAGAGTAAGGACAGAGAGACAAATATATTAGCTTAGGGTCACACAGTAAGTTGGTGCCAGAAAGAAACTGGGCCTCTTGTCCTTCAGTGTGCTATTTCTAGAGACTCTGACTTTTTATAAGTCTAAAGTAGAGCCAAGGGGTTCTTCTCTAATTTGGGGTGGTGCCAGCTGGTTAGCCAAGTCCTCTGACCTTGAATGAGGCATTTTTACCAAAGTAAATGGGTCTATGGAGCCAAACTCTCTCCCTGGCTGCACCCTCCCAAAGTCATTTTTCTGGTGAAAGGGGGGTGAGGTGGAGTCGGGAAGTCCAAGAAAACAACCAAGAACACAAGTGTAACAGATGCACCCAGCTGTTAACGCTGGGGAGCACACATAAGGGTGTGGTGCCAAAGGCTCCAAAGGAGATGCAGAGTCTTGGCTGATAGAAGAAGTCAGAAGGAGGCCCTAAGGTCACTGGGATGCTAGTGCTGGCTCTGAGGATGGCACGTCATCCTCCAGGCCTGGCGCACTCAGTGAGCATGCAGGAGGGTTCACTGGGGCTTGACTTTAGGTGGGGAGTTCCCCTTAGGACATCCCCTAGCCCTTGTCCTTCCCTAACCTCCAGCTGGAGCAGAACCTAGACCATGAGAACTTGGGTTGACTGGTTAACTACTAATACTGCTAACATCCCAGCTACAGTAGCAACCATCTGGGGCAAGGACTTCCCCTAGAGGCACTGTGGTTCATTAGAAAAATCACCAGATGAAGCCTATGAACCAGCTGTTGGATCTTAGATAGAACAGTTAACATCTCTGTGCTTTAGCTTTCTCATATATAAAAAGCGAGTGTTGAACAAGATGTCTTCTAAATTTTTTTTCCAGTTCTAACACTGAGAATTTGTTAGGAGCTCAAACTTCATTTTTCCCAGGATAATGGCTGAGAGTGAGCTGTCATCACCATCCTCTGGGATTTCTCTCACTTGTTCCAACAGGCTGGCACTTATGTACTTGGTGTCTGTTTTTCACACCATGGCCCCTGTGAAACCTTTCCAGCAACTGAGTTAGATGCCTGGTCTGCTCCCTCTCCTAGAAAACGTATTTTAGACTCGTGACTCCTCTCTCCTGCAAGTCTGAACTTTAGGTCTCAGGCAGAGGTGGACAAGGATAATGAGCTCCAAGAGCAGCAGCTCTGGTGTGCTTGGAGCTGGAAGAGAAATGGGGAGACGGAGGAGAGACCTCCCTAAGTTCTCAAATCCAGAGAGGCCCAGGACTCTCTAGACACAAAATAAGATTGAGCTGGCATTTCATGATCTGGTATTTCTGCTATCCCTGATCATACTGGGTTTGATTTTATGGAGGGGGAAACTAAGGCCTACAGAGGTGAACATATTGCCCAGGTTAGTCAAGTCAACAATTAGTAGCAGAGTGGAGATGAGAACCCAGGTAGCTGAAGTCCTAATCTTTTTTCCATTTCTCTACCCTGAAGCAGAAGATTCTTAAAAGACCCCTGGCTTGCCAGGCCAAAATAGGGTCCTATTTAAAGAAGCTGAAGACTGCCAGGCACCAGGAGATGGAGTCTGGTCAGGAGAAAGGTGGGACAAAGTTCAGGATAGTGGTAGGAAAGACATCCACACCTGGAGGTCATTCCTGTTCCTTCTCAGCCATCGAGGGGAAGGGGGCACCAGAGGCTGCAAAAGGAAGAGATGAAGCCCTTTAACTCATCCTCTCTGATGTAAGGGGGAGGGAAGGTCTGGGTTTTCCCCCTTCCTCTTTTTTTTTTTTTTTTTTTTTTGCCAGCAGGGCCTCCCAGCCTCCAGGCCTGAAAGTCCCCCAGTCATGAATGTTCCAGTGGGTCTGCTTTGGGTCAACAGGAAAACCCACTCCGCCCGCTCAAACCCACCCTTTTGGCCTGACACAGACCCTCATCTGATGCCCAGAGAATACCCATAAGTCTTTACTGAATCCCTTGCATACCCTCCGCCCCAGTGCCCCCACTGTGGTGTCCCTCCCCAGGATAAATTACTCCAAAGTGCCGTCAGCCCAGAAAACTAGACAGTGCCGCTCACCACGCTCGCCTTGAACCCAGTATCCCGGGACGCCCCTTCCTCAGCCGCGGGCAGCCCACTCCACCCTTGGGGGGTGCCCTGCAGCCCAGGTGCCCCCACGACCCCCAAGACTCACCCAGAAGAGCATGTTGAAGAAGAAGAGCAGGTATTTAACCAGCGGGCTGACGAAGGAGAATTCCTCCCCGTGCGCGGCCGGCGCCGCGGGTCTCCGGGCCATGGTCCCGCCGCCGCAGCCGCCTCCGGGGGCCTATCTCCCCGCGGCTGCCGGCCCACCTGCGCGCTCCGCGCCCGGGGGCATGAGCCGCGCCGCCGCCGGAGCCCGAGCGGCGGGGGAGCCGCGCCGCAGCGGGAGGCGCCCGAGCCGCGCGTCCGGGAGAAGCGCGGGCAGGAAAACGGCGCCGCCACCGGAGCCGCCGGGAGTCGCCGGAGCCGCCGCGGGCAGCTTGAGCGCGGACACTCCGCGGCGGCCAAAGGACCAGCCCGGCCCGCCCGGCGCCCAGGAAACCGAGCCCGCCCCCGGCCGCCCATTGGCGCGGCTGCCGAAGCCTGACTTCTCATTGGCCGGTCACTGATGTCACTCAGTGTCCAGCCATCCCTCTCCTGCGGGAGGCGGGGGAGACACCTGTTCCGTGAGGGACAACTTGGTAAAGGGTCAGCGGTTCTGCCTCCTCCCCCGAGAAGGAAAGCATCCAGCCTGCAGCTGCTCAAGGGAAAAAGAATGAGAAGGAATGCACGCTGCATCACACACCCACGTCCTCTACCCAGTTGCTGTGTACGTATGCAAACACACATCAAAATCAACAAGTACATACACCCATCGTGCGTTGAGAAAGACACCAAAAGCTGTGGGAATACAAGAGAACAGAGGTAATTCCCGGGGGGGATGACAATAAAATCGGGGAGACACAACTAACCTACACATAACAATTAGAGAATAGTTGCAATCCTGTTTAGTAACTATATATTGTAAATGCTTATATCAAAAGCTCTGTAAGTCAACAGTGGAAATTTGGATTTATCACCAACAGTCCTGCCAATCTAATTCGTTACTGTTTCAGTCTCCACTCCCTATTTCCTTAGAGTGTTTGTCTACACACAGACACTGTTTTTAACATGTCAATCCCACATACCTCCACAGGTATGGTGCAGCACAAGTGGTGGACACTAGGCAGGCTTCCAGAACTAACACAAACACAAATACTGTAGACTGAATGTTTGTATCCTCCCTTAAAAAGAACTCATATTTTGAAATCCCCCAAGGGGGTGGTATTATGAGATGGGGCTTTGGGGAGGTGCTTAGGTCATGAGAATGGGGCCCTCATGAGTGGGATTAGTGTCCTTCTAAAAGAGACCCCAGAGAGCTCCCTAGCCCCTTCTTCCATGTGAGGACACAGCAGAAAGACAGCTGTCTATGAACCAGAAAGTGGGCTCTCACCAGACGCCGAATCTGTGGGTGCCTTGGTCTTGGACTTCCCAGCCTCCAGAGCTGTGTGAAATAAATTTCTGTTGTTTATAAGCCACCCAGTTTATGGTATTCTTGTTATGGCAGCCTGAATGGACTAAGACAATGAGCATCAGGGAGGAACCTGATTGCACCCTCATCAGCTGCATGACCTGGGCAAGCTACTTAATCTCCCTGAGCCTCAGTTTCTTTATGTTAATTGGAGAGAGTCCTGGCCTGACAACACTGATGAGCGGATTAAATGAGATAATGCATGCAAATCACTTAGCAGAGGTTGGCCCATAGAAGGGCTCACTAATTGCAGTATTTTGTTTTAACGGAATTTGGAATCCAGTAGGGAGATATAAGTGCACAAATAACTACCACACATTTGGTGGAGGCTAAGTGAAGATGTCATGGCAGGTCAAGTTAGGAGAGGATGAGATTTGGAATAGCAGAGATGGAGGGGAAGGGTGATCCAGTGGACAAAAAGGGTGATCCAAAGCCTGGAGATGCAAAAGCACACTGTGTGTTTAGTGAGAAATACTCAGACTGGTTTGCCCGGTATACAAGGTATTCTTAGTATAGCAGTGGAAGATTGATTGATACCAATACAAGTCGAACTGAGTTAAAATCGTGGAAGGACTTGCATATCAAATTGCGGAGTTAGTGCTCAACTGATTTGGAAATAAGAGTTTTGAAGAAGGGAATGATGTAAAACCTGCTTTTTTTCGGTTAGACTGGGAAAGAGGCTGCAGAGAGGAAGGTTTGTTAGGAGACCACTGTTAATAATCTAGATAATTAGAAACCAGGATCTGATTTAGAGGTAAGGAATAGAATTGATACGAAAGGTTAGGAGTGAAGCCACTGGGAAGATAGACTCACTAGGGCTAGCTTGGGGGTGGAGGGGTAGGGTGACAGGAGCACCAGGGGTGGGGAGTGAGGCAGTGACCCAAGACCAGGTTACTGGGAGACTGGCCATTAACAGGTTAGTTGAGCATTTGGAGATCAGTTTTACTATGAAGGGGGTGGTGGGCAGAAGCCATTTTACAAGACGTTGAGGAATGAATGGGTAAGCAAAGGGTGGGTACCCATTTTCAGATGTCAGAGGAGTGAGGACTGAGAAAAAGCCCAAGCTGTTAAATGCTTCTATTAGATGACCATCCAGAGATCAGTTTAGTACAGACAGGAAGAGGAAGGCAAGGAGTCAAGGGGGGAATGGGGGGTGAAATGGAAGCTCTGGCTGAAGACTGTGGACACCTCTATCTAGAAGTTTGAAGGTCATGGGAGCTTCGAGGGACCTTAGAATGAAGGGAAAGTTCTCTTTTAGCGTAGAAGAGACCTGACGTGTTTGTAGGTATAACAAGCCAGTAAAAAGGGATTGAGGTGGATAATGGATGGGACAAGGTTTGGGAGTAGACATGGGATCAGGAATCAATGGGATGACCGCAGTGTCCATCACGTGGAAGTCAAGGATGGTGCCCAAACAGTAGGAAGTCATGCAGCTGTAGGACAAAAAATGAGGAAACCCTCCATGTACTGAGTTGGAACAATCTCCAAGATAAATTATTAAGTGAAAAAAGCAAAGTGAGGAACAGTGTACATAATATATCGCATTCTGGTTAAAAAAAAGAAAGACAAAAATAAAAAGTGACATTTGTATTTGCTTGCACCTACCTAAATAAACTCTGGAAAGACACAAAAGATACTAAGAAAGGAGGTTACATCCTGGAGCGGGGGTGAGAATTAAGAAACGAGGAGAGAGACTTTTCACAGTGTGTCATTTTATTTTTTCTAATTTTTGAAGCATGGAGTGTATTAACTATGCAAAGCATTAAATTAAAAAAAGATATATCCTTAGTATGGACTGCTATGTAACCATTTAAAATAATGTAGAAAATATAGGTACTAACTTGAGAAAAGTTCCACGACATAAAAAGTTCAAAAAGCAGATTGTGGGGGCCGGCCCCGTGGCCGAGTGGTTAAGTTCGTGCTCCACTGTGGCGGCCCAGGGTTTCGCTGGTTTGGATGCTGGGTGTGGACATGGCACCACTCGTGAGGCCATGTTGAGGCGGCGTCCCACATGCCACAACTACAAGGACCTGCAACTAAAAATACGCAACTATGTACTGAGGGGATCTGGGGAGAAAAAGCAGGAAAGAAAAAAAAGGAAATTGGCAACAGTTGTTAGCTCAGGTGCCAATCTTAAAAAAAAACAACAAGCAGATTGTAGAATAAAGTATATAAAGTATCCAATAACCAGGAAATGGTTTTGATTTGTTTTAGGTCCTTGGAAGGCATTTTAATCCTTTGGAATATATGATGTGGCCCTTTAAAATAGAAATCACTAAGATTATGTAATCACATATAAAATTTTAACAATGTGAGTGAAAAATTCTACACAGCATATTCACAGTATGAAATATGTGTAAATATCAACAGAAACAAACCGAAGAAAATGTAAAAGTAAGATCAGTTGCATTAATGTAGCAGGGTGTGCAGCAATTTCTAACTTAAAAATTATATTTAATATCATTATATGGGATTACGAAAATAATTAAAACATTTGAATGATGTTCTGTAAAGCAAAAAAAAAAAAGAAAGTCATGTGGCTGGAGCTAACTTTGGCACGAAGGTGTGTGAAGAAAGGGACAGTGACAAGGAGGAGAGAAGGTGTGGATTGGAGCTTTCGGAAGGAGGAGTTTCAGGTAGAGCAGGGCAGGAGACCAGAGGCAGGATGGTTTAGCAGAAGTGCTAGCCCAGCGGGAGTGCCTGAGAACTGCGATCTCAATTAGCCTCTTTAAAAATTTCTTCAGAAACATACGTGGTAGCCTGGAGAGCGCACCGTGAGAACTACCAATGCTAGGAACTGCAAGGAGGCAAGTAAGTGATTCTGGGATGGTTTGAAATGCACGATTGAAAAGCTCATGTGTGGCATCTAGGATTGCAAAAGAATCAATTGCTGGTATGTGAGTCTAGGAGAATTAGAAAGTTTGTCTGCAAACCTCTGTTTAGTGTTTAAAAATTTTTTTTTGTATTTTAACTTTTTATTGATATATAACATACCTGCCAAATACATCATTCTCTTTTATTTATGTGCTCGTCTTTCTACCTTTTGTATATGCTATTTTAAAATCTGAGATCAATACAAAACTATATGTCCAGAGTAATCACAGTTTTGTAAAATAGAAAGAATTATATATGTAAGTGTATAGAAGGAAATGCATCATAATATAAATAATGATTATCTCTGCATGGTAGGGTAATATTTGCATTTTATTTGTGTTACTTTTCTTCTTTTCCAAATTTTCTTTAGTGAACATGTTTTATTTTTTTAAGCAAAAAATGTTTGGGGTTGTTGTTTTCATTTTTGATTAGAAGCATTTTCAAATACACCGAAAAGTAGAAAGAATAACCTAAAAACATCTGTATTCCCATTACCAAATTTTCACATTTTGCCATGCTCATTCATTTTTAAGCTACAGCCACTCCAATTAATTCAGTTTTCATATATAAAAATAATGACTTTTTTTACATAACTACAAGAACATTATACTTCCTGATAAATTTAACAATAATAATATCCTTTTGTATTCGTTCATACTTAATTTCCCTAAATTACCCCGGATAATCTCTTTGAGCTGGTTTGTTCAAACCAGGATTTAACCAAGAACGAGTCATTGCATTTGATGTTATGTGGGGTTCTTTTTTTTTAGGAAAATTATCCCTGAGCTAACATCTGCTGCCAATCCTCCTCCTTTTGCTGAGGAAGACTGGTCCTGAGCTAACATCCTTACCCATCTTCCTCTACTTTATATGTGGGATGCCTACCACAGCATGGCGTGCCAAGCAGTGCTATGTCCGCACCTGGGATCCCAATCAGTGAACCCTGGGCCGCTGAAGCAGAATGTGCACACTTAACTGCTGTGCCACCAGGCTGGCCCCCTTTTTTTTTTTTAAGATTGGCACCTTTTTCTTCTTCTTCTTCTTCTTCTTCTTCTTCTTCTTCTTCTTCTTCTTCCC